ATCCAAAATTGCTTGGTAAAAAATCCTTTTACATGATGTTAATGTACAAATTTAAGGAGATTTTCTTCAGACACAAAGTAAGAAACAGACTTCTTTTAATTGGTTCAGGTCTCATGGGTTCTGCACCTGTTCTCCCCCTCCTCCCTTCTTTCCGGAAGCTTCTGTGTAGCCCCCCTCGGCCGGGTAGGAAGGAAACCCTTAGTAGCAGTGCTGGCAGCGTGCCAGGGGAACCTCCGATCGCTGTGTGTGTGTGTGAGTGTAGTGGACGTAGTTCTTGTGTGTTGAATTGTAAGAATGTGCAGCTGTCCGAGTTTTAGGTGTCCTTGTGTGGGTTTTCCAGTAGACTGTGCAGTTGGGAGTGACGGCTTTACAGCAGAAATAACAGGCTATCAGCTTTGCCTAAACACTCTGTAACCTGATCGCCTTACATTGAGGTTTGTTAATGGATAATCGGGTTAAAAACGCTGTGCTGGATCCAAAAAACAGTCAGAAATAGAGAAAACAAATCAGGCAGCGCTAATAAGACGGTTCTAGTGCTGAGCGTTTTTTTTCTGTCCTCTTGTGTTTTTGTTTGTTTGATTTCATTCGGTTCAGTACGCACTTCAAACTCCGTGTAAGAGGATCCTCTCTTTTCACTCATGGCCTCCCCCCCTTCCTTCCTTTCTTTCTTTCAGTGGGTGCCCCTGGTCAAATGACATGTTTTGTTGATTTTGTAAGTCGGGGGTGTCAAACTCAACCATTAAAAGGGCCATATTTAAAAATCTCAACAAATCTGTGGGCCAGAGAACGGCAATGTTTTTATTATTTCCTTTTTAATTAAAATTTTGCTATGACCCAAACGGACCATTATTTATTTAAAATACACCAAATTGTCAACAAAATACAGACACTTGTAGTAGATCTTGACATATAACGTGAATATTTGAAATATTCAGAATGTAAATGTCCCCAGGATGTAGCTTTTAAACCTGTCTATTTGCTTGAACTAGACACTCGGCATCCTTCCTTTGCTGCAAGTTCATTAAGACGTCCTACAGAACTGTTGTTGGGGTAGGAGATTCAGAGTGCACTTTGTGTCGCAGTGCATGCTGGGGACTGTAGTGCAGCGCGTTTTGAAACATTTACATTTGGCAGACGCTCTTATCCAGAGCGATTTACAGTTTACACACAGGTAGGCGAAGGTAGTGTTGGGAGTCTTGCCCAGGGACTCTTATTGGTATAGTGTAGGGAGATTGCCCAGTTAGAGGGTAATATGAATAGAAAATTAGAACACTTTTGCAGGCGGGATAGGATTGCACCGCAGGCCTGATTATGTTTAAGGGTCCTAAGTGAAAATAAATGAATATAACCTCCACAGAGAACACACTTCTGCACATTTTTATATTATGCTGAATTTAACACACTGTGAAAATTGACACCTAAAATGAGCCCTGTGCGAAAGATATGGCACATTTTATATTTTATGTTTTATTTTTGTTTTTTCGCTGTTAAACTCAGCAAATAAATAAAAATTGCACACTAAAATTTTCAGAAAATACCATAAGCGTGTTCTCTGTAGAGGATTAACTTATTTTTGCTTAGAAAATGAACAAACCATGCATTCAGACTTTTGCATTCGACTGTAGTCCCTCTCAAGGGTGGGAAAAATATAACATTCATGGTGTGTGCCATGATATTAATGCCACATTTATGAAAAGGCTCTAAAATGTATGATTTTTACATTAAATGTTAGCAAAAAAAAATGTTTATGTAAGGAGCAGGAGGAAAATAAAAAAAACAGGTTAAGAAAATGAACAAAATAACAGCTTCTTGTTACTGTTTAAACAGTTACTCTACACTGGTTATGTTACAGACTCTATAATTGATCTAAATCTTTTTTATGACCCAGTTCTTGAGTGTTCTAGAAGTACTGATGATACCCATGATACACTCAGAGAAGAGTATCGTGATGTAATGTATCACAATAACATTACCATACCGTTATATTGCCGACTCCTAGCTGGTGCTGTCTAATTTTTCTGAGCTGTGTTTTTAGTTGTGTGATCTCAGTAGGTCTGTTCTCTCGCTCTCCACACTCATGTAAGATGATCCTCCTTTTATGCACATGACACCCCCCCCCACACACACACACACACACTCACACACACACACACACACACTTTCTATCTGTAACCCCTCTCTTCCTGTCTTCTGTCCACTCTAGCTTTTTCCCCCTGCTCTTCTGACCCACACTGAGGCTGCTTTCACCCTTACCTTGTTTGGTGGGGCCAATCAAATCTTTTTCTTTAATTCGGTTCATTTTGACAGGTGTGAACGCTCCACCCGTACTCGGGGGCACACTGAACAAATGAGCCGTGATCCTCCAAAAGTCTCGGGTCTCGGCCCGTTTCTGTTGCAGTGTGAACCCAACAGAACCAAACGAAAGATACAGTGATATGAAATGTAAACTCTGGTTTGGACTTCAGCAAACAAACAAGGTGTGAAAAACAGCCTGAGTTATACGGTTTGAACACTCTGGTCAAATCACATGTTTTATTGATTTTCTAAGAAAAATAATAACTTTAAAATAAGTTCCTCATCCTCTGCAGGTAACACACTGAAATATGACATTTTTATGCAAATTTTAAAGCACAACTTCAATTTATGTGCTTCAATTTATGAGTCTAACATGTTGGAAAAAATAAAACAAAATATAAGATTTGACAGGCCTTGTTTTATGTTTATCTTCTCCACAATGTTAAATTCAGCAAATAAACTATAATTGTGTATTAAAATGTGCTGAAGCGTGTTCTCTGCAAAGGATGTGTTGTAAATTAACAAAGCAATAATTTGTAATTTGACCATTGAAGGCCAAACGTCTGCATACAGCTGTAGGTGTGGGCTGCCATGTGGTTTTGTGCTTGTTTTTTTGGAATGTGAGGTGGGTGGTGTAGATGTGTTGGCGTTGGGGGGATTTGGGGGGCTGGCAGATCTACACTCCATTCAGTGGGTCACTGGGGTCATTAAGAATGCGAACTGCATTGTTTAGCTTGTTTTTTGTTTGTTCCTCTTTAACTCCCTCTTCACTGTCTGACCTAGTTTTCGTAAGAAGCGCTTCCTTGAAGTTTAAGAAATAGGAAGTGATTATTGAGTTTAGTCTGTTTCTGTCTCTGTTTGGTGCCACTGACGTTTACTCACAAGATTCATTAACCCTTTAAAACCCTGGCTGTTTGTGCAGTTATCAGTCTTAAGACTCTTTCTAATTACTATAGACGGCACTAATGTAATACCTTTATCTGTATCGGGCAGATATCAGCAGGAAATGCTGGTTAGGATTTGGGACATACAAAAAGACTGTGATTCAATCCTGTAACAAATCTGTCCTGAAACAGCACTAACTTATACTGAGTGATGTGGTGTTGTTAGTGAAGTTCTTTCTGTGAGGGTTCTAGAGTGACTTTTAGCATAATACTCTTTTTTTTTAAGATTTTAGATCGTACATAAAACACTTTAATTAAAAATAGCAAATTTTAAAGTGCCGTAGATTAAAGGAAAAAAATCTGATCAGTATTGGCCGATACTGAGAGTTTCAATATCAGTATTAGCAAAGAAAAGTTTTTTTTTGCTGTGATCTGATCTTTTTAATATGATGGTTCACATTTGTATAGATAAGTGACTCAAATCTGCCATTAATGTGAACAAACCTGCATCCTGAAAGTCAGGCCCGTGACACAATCCTATCCGGCCCACAAAATTATTTTAATTTTCTATTAATATTCGCCCATTTTACCATGAACTGCACTACAGTTCCCAGCATGCACTGCAATGTAATTTGTGCTCCCATCCCCACCCCTTCGTGGGACTGCACCACAAAAAGATGCCAGGTGTCTAGTTCAAATGGGCAGTTTCAAAAACCTACTGTACACTGGGGACATTTAAACAGGTTTAGCAGTGATCTGCAGCTAATGTAGCCTATTGTTTTATGTAAAAATTTTGTTTTTATTTAAAATTATTTTTAAATAGTTCAAGTATTCAATGCCTATTTTTTGGCATATTTTAAAACAAACAATGTCCAGTTGGGGTCCTGGCAAAATGTTAAGTAAAAATAAAATATACACAGCTGGCCCACTGCACAAGTCCGGAGAGGCCATGAGCTGTTGCTGTACTTTTCTGGATTGTCATCTTGAGATAACAAGATAAGTAACTCGTTATTTCAAGATAACAATTGTGCTATCTTGAAATAACAAGACAAATAACTCATCATCTCAAGATAACAACTTTATCTTGAGATCACAAGATAATTAACTCGTTGTCTTAAGATAACAACTTCTGTTATCTCGAGATAGCAAGATAAGTAACTTGTTATTTCAAAATAACAATCCAGAAAATTATAACTACCTCATGGCCTCTCTGGGCTTCCGTGGGCCACAGATTTGTTGAGATTTTTTAATATGGCCCTGGTTTACAGACACTGACTTCAGGTTAGCTGCCACATCAACAGTGAATGATGGTGAATAAAAACTACATGAATTCTAATGTCAGAGTTCTCGGTAAGGTCATGAATCAGATATGTATCTGATCTAGGACCACATATAAAAGTGGCTCGGATTCAAAAGATTCTAATTTGAAAAGATCAGATTTGTGTCCACACAGCTCTAAAAACATCTGATTTGTGCCACACAATGTAATTGTGTAATGTAAACACACCCTAAGGTCTGTAGTTATGTGGCTAACAATGAGTGGACTGTAATAGCACCAGTCAGCATGATGTCACATTAATTAGTGGAGGTTGGCTTTGATTGATCATTAGCAACGTTAGCTGTTTTTGACTGAGCTGTTCCTTCAAAGCGTTTATCTAGATGTGTGAATAAATATGCAGAAGCTTTGCCTTTGACCGCCTTCTTCTTCTGTTTGCTTATGATTTGTGTTTAAGGGGTTAACAGTATAAACACGACAGCTGTGAAAACATTTCCTCGTAACTTGCTTCACTTGAAAAAAAAAATCTCTGTCTTTCTCTCCAGTTTTCACTCATGCAGTTGTGTTGGAGTTAAGAAGATGGATGACAGGCGTGATGGAGTGCAGGTTGGAGAGAATAAATACATCAGCAAGTGAGTCTTCATTCATCATGCATCTCTCACTCTTACGTTCACACATATGCAGTTCTCAGCACACTCAGATATGCACTCTGACTCTTAGAAAACGGCTCTGAATGCAGATATTTTCAAAGCTGAAGTTCGGCAAACAGTTTAATTCACACATTTGTCTCCCCACATGCCAAATATACTCAATCAGCCAAGAGAAGTTTGGTGTCGTTTGCTCCTTTAGTTTTATACTGGAGCTACAAGGCTAATGTAGCTTACAACTAATAGAAGTTTATCCCATGCTAACTGCAGGTTACCACACACTCGCCTCAAACCGTGTGGAGTTGTTCAGTATCTCTAATAGACTTGATTTTGTGGTTTCTGATACTGCATGACTCACTGTTCTAAGCTATGTGATTCACTTTTATCTGTTTTATGTAGTGATGATTTAGGCATGTGGTTAGCACCATGCTAACTGGTGTACATAAGCTTCCATTATTTGTTAACTACGAATTGTGAAACTAAAGAATCTGCTACTTCAGACACCGAAGATGACTTTGCTGACCGACTGCATTTGAAGTTAGGAAAGAATTGTGTAATAAAGCAGTTAACCACGAGAAGCCCTGCTTTACAGTGATTTTAATGGGTTAGGCTTGTACTTATGCACAACATGAAACTGCAAGGTACCCATGGTAAAATCACTTTAAAGCACTTCCTCAAGTGGCTTATTGTTTCTATAAAATGTTGACAGCATGCACAATCGTTCACTGAATAAATTATTTAATCACATTACATAGCTATTCCACTAAGAAATGTAATAGGTCCTTTGTAGGTCCTCCTGTCATTGCTTAGTAGTTGAGGACTGCTGATTGAACAAGGAAGAACTTTAAATTACCAGCTGTATATTGCAGTCATTTCATAAACATATCATAATATAGCCTTGTTTGAGCAGAAACCTTCACCATCACAAGTAGCTAAAAGCAGCTTTTTCTAATCAAATTACTGTTACAACTATAATGCTAACTTCTCTATGTGGTTTTCTCTGTAATGTTAGCATGAAAGGCCTCACATATTCGTTTTTCCACGTCTGGTTTAACACTGCCTCAGAAAGATCTAATAAAAACGTGGACACTTGAAACGTGGTTTTTGTTCACTTCACATGTTAAAAATGTGGTATTACATAAAAAAAAATGTTATTTCTTGTAAACATGGGGTTTTCATACACATCACAAGGACAATATATCATCGCTGTCAAAAGAAAACCATGTCCATTTTTGTCGATTTTTATTTTTCTACACCATTTCAACACACCAGCTCTCCTTTATGTCATGTGAAAACTTTATGATGATTGGACCAATAGAAATGCTCTAAATTCACTTGGAAAAAGATTGTTCAGATTGTTTTTACCTTCTCTTGTAAAGTTACCATTTTGGAAATACTTGTTTTTCTTTTGACAGCGACGATATGTGACTTTTCTAAGTAACATATTCTTTACTTTGCATGTTTCAGTTTTACAGTAAATCATAAAATTTTAAGCCACAGATATTAATGAAAGAAGCCGTCTGCCTCCCTGATAGATGTTAAGCAAAGAAGTTTAAACAAAACCAGTCTCTTTTTAGTACATCTTTCAGTACACTTAAGGAACTTAATGTCCGAACAACATAACGATGAATTAATACTGAATGAGGTTGTTGTAAGGTGGTGATAGATTTGCATATATTCATTATTTTACAGCAGCTTTGAACACGATTCAACCAATCAAATTTTAGGACTGGCACTGTCTGTTTCATATATTTCATTTAACTCTCCATTTAAATCGAAGCAAACGTGTAGCTGATAACTATTAGCAATCATACAACAGTTAGTTCCGGCCACGCAAGCTGATTGGTTGAGAAGCGTTCTAACCGTGCTGTTATTTCGCCATAACATCACGTTTTTTTCATAAACACGGTTTCACTCCGCTGAGAAGCTGTTGCTAAGCAACGACTTTGACAGCTGTAGGAGACGCTCGAGCCATTTGAACGTTTTTACTTCTTACTTTGCCACAAACAGAAAATGGACACTTTTAAGATCACATTTGACCGACAGCCGATTTGGTCAGACTCTGAAGATGAGACTACACTAAATTCCCAAACTGTCACCACTGAGCAGCTTTTCAGTCGGCAGCTGAGACAGAAGAACAGTTGAACAACCAGGAATCAGCCAGAAATGAACCCAATACCATTCGCCAAACTAAACGGGCTGTAAGATGCTTTACAGACTGGCTGGAACAAAACAACATTAATACTGATCTGGCAAAAAATGACAAAGCTGAACTAAACTTGATATTGCAGCAGTTTTATGGCTCAGTCTGATTTGGTCAGACTCTGAAGATCAGACTACACGTTTGGCGAATTGTATTTGGGTTCATTTCTGGCTGATTCCAGGTTGTTTAGCTGTTCTTCTGTCACAGCTGCCGACTGAAAAGCTGCTCAGTGATGACAATTTGGGAATTTAGTGTAAGGAGCTGGAGAACGAACTGCCGGCTGTGCAGCGAGTGAGCGGAGTTCGTTACTCTGACGGAGCAACAAGCTGCTTGTTAAGGAACTATAATTTGGCAGAAGGAACTGCTGACATTAAATACATATTAAACGGCACGTTGACGGCCCAGTTTATTAATTTCCTTACTTTATTTATTTAACTGTTGTATAAAAGCAACAGAACACTCAAGGTCATCATGTGATGTTATTTTGCGATAACACGCTCCCTCTCATGTTCTATTGCTTAAATATACTACCTTTTCTGTACAGTATGAATATGAACACACAACTGTTCAGAAAACCTCCTGAGCCGAATATACAGATGATTAAAGCTGTGGTACATTTTTTGCAGGAGCAGTGTCCTCTCACACCTGAAGACCTACAACCTTTACTATGAAGGACAGAACCTGCAGCTCAGACACAGAGAGGTAAGAAAGAGGTTACCCACTCACGCACTTCTTCTGCCCCTCTTTGTCTGAAATGCGGTTCAGTTTGACCCCCACTGTCCCTGCTTAATAATTCACCCGTCTCTGGGGAGTAATAGCTGTCTGTGACTGGAGGCTGAGGGTGTGAATATAAGAGTGTTTTTGTGCACAATTTAAACTGCATTCTGTGCCAGCTGAGATTTTAGGCTCTGTTTAACCTCACAAAGAACAAATGCACTGATTTTAGAGACAAATACAGTTCCCGGGTTCAGAGCATTTAAGGGGAATTCTATCGATTTGTCATAATTTCTGCATAATTCAGTCACTGAGATGTAAACAAAGTCATTCGGAGTGGTTTGATATGTAATCGTTAATTGTAGAGAAAATGGCTCAGATTTCTTTACAGTGGTGGTGATAGGAACCAGGAGTCATGATGTCTACAACGCAAATATAGCCATATTATTTACTATCCCAAACCATTAGTGAACCAGCACGTCTTTTGAGTGTTTATATGCCCTTCTTCCATTATTGTATAATATTTGTACCTTTTTCATGTAATAGCTTTGTGTGAGTAGCATTAAACTCTTCAGACGTCTGGTTCCTATCACCACCATGAACAATTCAGACTCAGTTTACATCTTGTTTCATGTGTTATGCAGACATTTTTAAAAATCAGTAAAAATTCCCTTTTGAATAATAATAACGCTGAGTTGCTGTATTAGTGTTTACCAACACCACATAATAATAATAATATGGTAATATGTGTATTTCAGGACTGTGTATAATAATCTAATAATGCTCTGCTGTCCTATTGAAATAATTGCTGATTATAGGCTTTATTTCTGACTCTTTTATTTGGGTTAATGAGTTATTGACTTAACTGTAGAGATGGTGTTTCACTGTAGGGGTGCCAGTGTTTGTGTGTGTGTGCATCATGGCCTAATTATGTTCTCTGCAGGAAGAAGGCGAGTTGATTGTTGAGGGCCTTCTCAATATCTCCTGGGGTTTGCGTCGACCAATCAGATTGCAGATGCAGGATGACAACGAGCGCATCAGACCACCTCCCTCCTCCACATCCTGGCACTCAGGCTGTAACCTGGATAACCAGAGGTCAGAACATAAACCACACTCACGCACATATCACATATATATACATAAAATTAGAACCTCACACGCACACACACACACACACAAACGCACCCACACACACGCACACAGGGTATTTGTGCAAGTGTTAAAGCCGTTTATTTCGGGAGTGTTTTGCCTTTAAAAAAACACTATATAACATCAGAATAAATACAAATAACCATAAACCCTGTAAAATGTAAGAATTTGCTTTAAGTAAAGTTGTTAATATAGAAAAATACAGTGAGAAAGCCTGGGTTCAATTCCCTGGCCAGGCGACCAGAGCCCCTTCTGTGTTTGCATGTTCTCCCCATGTTTGCATGAGTTTCCTCTGGGTGCTCCTGTTTTTCCCACAGTCTATGCTGTCAGGCCAGTTGGAGATGCTAAATTGCCCCTAGAAGTGACTTATATGTTTTTGTGTCTGCCCTGTGATGGAGTGGCAACCTGTCCAGGGTGTCCAGGAGAATAATTTTAATGTTTCATCAATTTTGTGAACAAGAAGTTAAGAAATGATATTATAAAACTGGTCCTAAAATCTGATGAGCCACGTTTGAAGTCAAATCCACGACACATGCACACCAATGACCACCTCACAACTGAACTGTGTATCACTGCGCCACGGCACGAAAAACCCTTGTGCTGTTAATGGAATAATCTTTGACTCTTATGCTGCTTGCATGGACCACTGAGTGTACTGATGAAGTAAGACCCGTTTTTGTTTAAACTGAGCAGCTGGAAACTTATATTCTTAACTAGTACTAGGTTGGTCAGCTAGCTAACAAGCTAAAAGATAGCTAACAGGCTAAACAACTCCATCATTAACATCACAGGCTTAATTTAAAGTACTTACGTACGTGATTAACTGTAAAACCACACATCTGAAAATCTCTGATGGTCTAAAAATGTCTTACACACTTCAAATGTCCGTGTTTCAGTCAGAAGTCACGTCAAATCCAGGCTGAATCTCAAATGACTTCATACTCCCTAAATAGTGTTCTAGCTATGAAAGTTTAGAAATTCTAGCCTCTACAGACAAATAGTGCATCTTTTATCGAGTGTGGATGTGTCTGAGTCCCAAATGACGGTTTCCTAGCTATGTTTTGCACAGTTGGGCTGCAGGATCCAGTATGTAAACGCCTACATAGTGCACTACATGTAGGGAGCAGGGAGCTGTTTGAAATTCAGCCCCAGTGTGAGAAGAGGGGCGCTGCTGGATTGGTGCTAAATAAGACTTGCAGTGGTGATTGGTGACCAAAAAGTACTTATAGGGGTGACGGTTTTTGCATTAAACAGTGCTGAGTTATCATATGTTCATTGTTATACAACAAAAAGTTAATGAAATGACCGCAGTACATAGTGATGGGCGACCAAACGTTCTCCTCATTCAGTGGTACATGGTTGTTAACGATACCAAACTCTAAAGGAACTACATTTATTGGCGGAATACTTGTTTATGTTGATTATTGTTAGGAATAACTTAAATTATTTTCTGAAAAATTGTGTATTTTATCATATTTTATGTTGGCCGCCGTCTTATAAAAGCAGTAAGCCGCTTGAGGCTGTTCTTTACTGCGATGTAATCACAGGGAAGGGAGTAAGAACACCCTTATTGCTTTTATATACTGCAATTTCTACTGCAGTACATTTTTCTAGGTAAAGTTATCTGCTTTGATATTTAATCTCCACTTCTGAAATATAATGAATTCTGGGTATTGATTTTATTGAACTTCATTCTGGGTGTTCTACAGCTTTCTCCGTCCTTCAGAAGTTGTCTACAGCTCTGTTACAACTGGACACATCTACCGTTTCTTACTTTTTATTTAGACCATCCTAGTTTCTGCAATCAAATTGATTTTATATTATTGATAACACTGATTCTACACTTTTGGACAGCGGTATATACTTTGAGGACATTATTACTTTATAAACAGCAGTATGAACGCAATTAGACAGATTACCTCCAGTAGCACCACTGAAGACTTCTTAGAAAAAAAGTTCTTCACTCCCTCACAGCTGATCAGACACAAAGTTTGAAATCTGCCCCAAATGTCTGTTATGGGTTCTTTTTGCTCTCTCTCTCTCTCTCTTGACTCACAGGTCAGTAATAACTCAGTGCAACATTTCTGTTGGCCCACACGCATCAAATAAAACAGGTTCTATTCTCCTAGACATGTTTGTGTTTGAGACCAGCTTTTTCAAAAGTGGACAAAAAGCTTGTCGGCCCACAAAACCATTAGATACAACAAATGGGATCAACACAGGCCGAAAAAGACTTTCATGGCGGTTCGGTTCGACGGCTGAAATGTCAACAGCATGGCCAGTGACTCAGCTGGAGTTGCTATGGAAACAAACGGCATTGCAGAAAGCATTCTGTGTCTGATCAGCTGTGAAGGAGTGAAGAACGTTCTGGAAAAGGACGCGCTATGAAAAGTAGAGCGGTTTCTATGGAGATGCTACTTCTGCATACAGACTGAAATGTTAAAAATAGGTGAAGCTCTGAAATCCTTCTCAGAAGTTAGATATACACGGATGATTCTTAGATGCTTCTTAGTACATTATGAAAGTAATATTTCAGTGCTTTTCAGCCTAATCTGTATCCCACTTCTGTGTCATACCATCAGTGACCACAGACAGTGATGTTATGTGTTTTCCTGTGCTTGTTTGGTGTCCAAATTTAGTTCGTTATGTTAACACTGGAGCTATCAGACCATCTTTTCTGTAAATACATCCACAAAACATCTCTCAACCCACTCAAGCTGCATCCAGCTCTTCATTAAGGTACAAAAGACTTGTTGATGTGGATAAGAGCACAAACTGACTTACTGTGAGCTGTAAAAATGAACAAAAAGTCACTGTGTTGCTGATCACCTCAGTTAGCCATTTAATCTTTTCAGCTCGAGACCACCGGTAATTTTAAAACACGTTTCATCATATTCTTCATAACTTTCATATTTCATAAGCTACATTCAAAAGGTGGGTCTCATTTGAGAGCTGTAACTGTCTTCTTTCCAGTCAAATGGATGGGTGATGTAATTTTAACCCTTATAATAAAAGAAGCTGAACTCTCCATTTTTTTTCTACTGAAAGTCGACGCATTTTTCCACAAATCTGGGCTATAAACTATAAACAGATGGCGTCTCTTCAGTGATCTGCTCTGTAAAAATTATTTTTATAAAAAAAATACAAAGAGCTAAGATTTTTGGCTTTCAGCAGTAAATTGTAAGCATATAGCAATATGTGTATGATCATGAAACAAGTTCTGTACGTTTGAGGGGAGCTTTAACAAAAAATAAATAAAATAAAAAATTAAATTTATTTCATGCAGTTACTGAATGATTTGCCTTACGATTTGGTCACGTAAATTCAGATGGAAAAACAAAAATATACCCTGGAGAATATGAGGTTAAGAGTCTGAAGTGTCCATAGCCTTCAACTACACAGTAAAATTTTGAGTTCACAGAAAGTCCTAAACCACATTAGGAAGTCTACACAACTTTAATGAAGACCTGGCTGTGGATTGAGAGAGTTTAAAAGAAGTTTTGCAGATGCATTTATGGAAAGGATTTGGGTGACTATTGACTTCTGTTGTTTGGACCAAACATGTCTTGGCTGATTGACTATAGCTGGGGAAACCTGAAAAACTGTAATTGTGATTTTCTTTTGTCAAACAATTCCTTTAGAATTAGTTAGTCCCACGTTTTAAACAGGTTTGCAGAATTCAGCAGCTTCTTGTTGGTGGTGGGTGTCAAAGTGTTTTCTGTTCTTTTCTAAACACGAGGAAATGCAGTGCAGATACTGTCTGTGATAGTCGACAGTTATCTGCAGACAGAGTTCCTGTTGAGAAATGCTGGAATGTTTCCTTAAATGTTTTAAACCAAATGCAGAAAACTGCAAGAGTGAAGTACTAGGGCCTATCAGCACCATCACTGGTGGTGCTTTCTGTAAAGAGCTCCTCCTGGGATGTACGCAGTGAGGAAATTCCTGACAGTGGATATAAACATTATAAACACAAACAAACTCCGCATTTATCCACGTCCTGTGACACAAGATGGATGATTCTGTTGGCCTTGAGTAATGTGCTTTCCTCTCATGCTTATTGTAGCGGTGAGGCTCAGAAACAGGCTCCGCCTCCTGTCGAGGTGACAGAAGCAGAAAACCAATCAGACAACAGCACAGCGAAGGAGGATGAGGAAGAAGAAGGTGGGTGTCAGTCTGGAAACACTTTGTCTCAAATCACTGTTCATCAACTGTTCATTACACCAGTAAATTAGGATCACTGTACAGAGCAGCACTACAGAGAATACACCATTCACATCAGCTTAGCTTATCTCCTTCTCAATCTCTCTCCCTCTCTCTCTCTCTCCTCTCTCTCTCTCTCTCTCTCTCTCTCCTCTCTCTCTCTCTCTCTCTCTCTCTCCTCTCTCCTCTCTCCTCTCTCTCTCTCTCTTCCTCTCTCTCTCTCCCACCTCTCTCTTTCTCTCTCTCTCCCACTTCTCTCCTTCTCTCTCTCTCTCTCTCTCTCTCTCTCTCTCTCCCTCTCTCTCTCTCTCTCTCTCTCTCTCTCTTTCTCTTATCTTTTTTCCTCTTTCTCTCTCTCTGTCTCCCTTGCTTTCTTTCTCCTTCTCTTTTCCCTCTTTCTCTCTCCCTGGTTCTCCCTCTGTCTCTCTCTTTCTCTCTCCCTTGCTCTCTTTCTCCTTCTCACTTTTTCTTTTGCTCTTTTTTGCTCCTACTTGCTCTCTTTTTCTCCCCTCGCCCTCTTTCTCCTTCTCTTTTTCTTATGCTTTTTTTTCCCACATGCTTCCTCTCTCTCCTTTCTTTCTCTGCTCTCTCTCACTCCTTTATCCTCTCTCTCCACGGTCTTCTTCTTCTTCTCTCTCTCTCTCTCTCTCTCTCTCTCTCTCCCTCTCAGATGTCATTGATGCCTCTTCTCAGCTCCTGAGGACCAAAAGTGATGCGGGTGTTTTGAGGCGGGGTAACAAGCGGTCTCCTAGCGACCAGCGGCGAATCAGAAGGCACAGATTCTCCATCAATGGCCACTTCTACAACCACAAGGTGGATCAGAATCGTGTGTGGGAGCTGCATCACTGACACGTTTGAATAAAGCAATGATGAAATTGCATTTATTTCTCTCATATTTATATGGTTATGTTTTTCCCTCTCTTTCACTTACCTGAATATTACATTATTACCAAAGAGGTTAACATAAACATTAGCCTAAATAAGAGAAAAGTGTTTTTCTTTTTAAATTTAATATTAATTTTCTTTCTCTCTCTCTTCTCTGCTCCAGACGGCTGTGTTCACTCCAGCGTACGGCTCCGTGACTAACGTGAGGATAAACAGCTGCATGACGACGCCACAGGTGCTGCGCGTGTTGCTCAACAAGTTTAAGATTGAAAACAGCCCCGATGACTTCGCTCTCTACCTCGTCCATGCCAGCGGAGGTCAGTGTCTTTACAGAAAACCTGATACTGTGTAAATGGCTGCCACCTGGTGGACAGAGCTCAGCAGTGCAGCCTGAAATAGATTTATAGGCCATGTTATGTTTACAATATTTCAGTGTCCGTTCCTGTCCTCACTTTTTAAACAGGTTATCTTTTGGCATCTTATGTGTGTGCATATGTGTGTTTCAGAGCGAGTTCAGCTGAAGCGCACTGATCACCCTCTGGTGTTGAGGATACTGCAGGGGCCGTGTGAGCAGGTCTGCAAAATCTTCCTCATGGAGCAGGACCTGGGAGAGGAGGTCACATACGATGTGAGTTCCTGTGTATATGTGTGAAAGAATGAGTGAGAGTGTTGGTGATGCAGTGAATGTTTAAATGGGCCAAACAGCATCCCTGGTCAAATTATGTTCTGTTGATTTTCTAAGTGAAAACAAGTCAACACATCCTCTACAGAGAAGACACTTAAACATGACAATTTTCTGCAGTTTTAGCACATAATATTTATGTATTTGCTTTAACATGTTGAAAAAAATAAGACATAAAACATAAACCTTTTGCACTGGTCACATTTTATGTTTTATTTTTCTCCAGTTTGTCAAATTCAGCAAATAAACAGTAACAGTTGTGCATTAAAATATGCAAAACTGTGTTCTCTGTAGAGGATATGTTCACTTATTTTTGCTCAAATGTAATTTCAAAATTAAATGTAATTTGACTGGAACGCCCAAACTTTTGCACACAATGGTATCCTACACTTTTATTTGAGAAGAATATGTGCTTTTATGTACGAAAAACATTTATGAACATTTCCAACCTCTCTTTATGTTTATCAGAGTCCCTGTTCTGATTGGTTGCCTCATTCAGAAAGCAGTCCAGAATGAAACACTCCTTATATCGTCAGTGTTAATAAGTGCTAGTAGGCTGCAGCCTGAATGGGCAGATATAGTAATGTATTGTTTTTTGTGACATCAAACAGGCTGTTCAAAACAGGCTGTTTTGCTTTTTAAAACCTCAACAGTCTTGACATACTACATCAAAATCTTCTTTTCATACATACTGATGTAAATAAGATTGTTAGTGTTGCATTTAAATATACTATGCTCTGTGCTTTTCTTCATACCAGAGCCAACAGCTTTATCTATAACGAATGTTTTAGCCTAAGTAAACTATGATTGTGTTTTAAATCAGCTAGGGATTGATTCATTTTAACTCAGTTTCAGCTGTGTCCAATAGGGGGTGCTATACCTCTCCTTAAACGAGTGAGACGGAGAGAAAGGCAGATTTCGTGGATTTGGTTTGATCCTTGAGGTGTAATTTTATTGACTTGTAAGATATTAAAAGGCCCATATCATAGAAAACTGAATTTTCCTCACTCCTTGAGATTCATTTAGTCTGTAAACATGTTAAAGCTTCCAAACATACCCAGTCCATACGGTCCATAAACGAAAATGAAGCTGTTTTGAATTCACTGTTTTTGTGATGTCACAAAAACCAAGGCACCTACATACATCCGATTATTCAGCCTGCAGCAATTTAGTCCTGCCCTTTCATGCTGAGGTTAAAAGGAGTGTCTCAGCTCTGAGTGCTCTAGAGAACAGCCAATCAGAACAGAGGTCATTTTCATATATGTCTTAGAGGTAACAAAAACAGTCTGGTTAATTCTAAAGGATAAAAAGAGGTCAGGCAAAACAAATTATGGCTGTTTTTGCTGCAACCCACACAAACATTACAAGTGGACCTCAGAGGGGACAAATTAAATACAAGACAAATGCAGGATATGGGCCCTTTAACTGTGGTTATGTGCTCTCCTTGCTCTAGGTGGCGCAGTACATTAAATTTGAAATGCCCGTGCTGCAGAGTTTCATTACCAAACTGAAGGAGGAAGAGGACAGGGAGGTGCAGAAGCTCAAACGAAGGTACAGTTCACCTGAAGAGACCTATTTAGGCATTGATGTAAGGTTGAACCTTATGGTACAGCTACACAGAGTTGCTCTTCAGGTTATCTGACATGTCTATTGCTTTGTAAAAGTAGTATTCATATTTTCTGACTGCCCCTATTTTAGTGTTTATTAGTCCAGCCTGGTCAAATATTCTAATTAGAGCATTTGTAATTTACTGAACTTTCTCTCTGTTTCTCTTTTAGGTACAAGTACCTGCGGTATATCATTGAGAAGCAGTTGCAGTGCTTACCGGATGGTTCCACTTGTATGTGAAGCTCCTAATCCACCAGCGCTCGTTCCCCTCAGCACCCTTGTGCTGGTTGTCTGACTGTGAAAGAGCCGCAGCCTTCTGTTTGGTTCATTTGCTCCGTCCTGAAGTGGTTGTCAGCATAAAATACTCCGGGATCCACTTTACTTCCACCATAATGTCACGTATATGGAGTCATGGTACATTTTTCAGGGTAAAGAGTAGCAGACTTAGCCAGGGACGGTACTAGGCACATGCCACTAGAGGGCCTTAGACCAGCACAGATTTATAATTCATTGGCCAATACTAGATTTTGTTAGATTTGCTAGACGTCACACAGCCCATACAACCTATCTGGACTTCATTGGGTTGAAATAATAAGGGCCAAAGGAGAAGTACAGTCAGAAATTGAGATTTGGTGTAATTTGTTAGGTTGTAGTCTTTTTTGATAGCTAAGTTAGACAGGTGGAGTGATAAGTTTGGCCACATTAATATCAGAATCATAATTAATTGTAAGTCCACATAAAGTGGATCAATGATGAAAGAAAAAGAAGCCAGAGAAGCAGCTTGAAGTACCTGCTATCTCTTCTATTTCATAAGACAGATCTGAAGAGGGACCATTATTTGGAAAAGTTAACGTTAGTGATAACGCTAATCATGTAACAGAATATATGTATGGTGCGTGAATGGGGGGGTCTAAGGGGTGGGCGATGTGTGTTTATTTGTGTGTGTGTGTGTTGGGAAACCCAGGATTTGCTAATCCGTCCCCACAAAGAATGATCTGGACACGTTAAGCTTGAACTCGTACATACGACTAAACTTGCATGAAAAGTTAATGCTCGCCTGTAGAGCAGTATGGCCAGACACGGTTAGGCTGGAGAGGTGGGCGCTGACGTAGAACCGTTAAAGACCATTCAGTTAAAAGGGAAGGCCACTGATTTTTACATTTTTTTTTGCATAATTCCATTGTTGCAATGTAAAGTCAATCAGAGTGGTTTAATATGAAACGCTTTATTGTTGAGAAGCTTACAGACTCCAGTTTCTTTAGCTACAGTGGTGGTGATGGGAACCAGCGGTCACAATGTCTACAACACAAATATAGCCATTTTATTTACGAAACCACCAGTGAACCGACACATGAAGTTTTTATAGGAATGTTGAAGATGGCAAAATAGTGGAAAATATGAAAAAATATGTTTTCTTTGGGGACTATTTTGCCTTACAGTGTCCAGCATGTACCCCTCCGCCGCGATTGAATTAAAATAAATGGATTAACGAGACGTTTTAGGTCAAAACACTGTCGCAAAACCCTGCAAGAATCTCGCATCAACCTTTGACAGCGTCCGCTATTTTTGATACACTGGGCCCTGCTTTAGTTACCAGCAGTATTACCAGAGAATTTCTAGTGAGGAGAATTACCACTCAGTAATGTCTTTAGGGTTTGTCAGATGCTAGAGGGCGCTCCTGAGCAAGTCCAAAATGAATGGGTTCCTAGGGAGCTTTTGTGCAAAACTGTATTTTGTAGATTTTTGAACAGAAATATAGACTAATTTTCTCAACACAGAACAGCATAAAATATTTCTACACTGCTGTCATATTTTCGATCACTTTTGACCTGCAGTTACAGGACTTTCTAACAGTGCTTCATGTGTGTTGATGATGTCAGTGAGCGCAAACCGCTTTACTCAGCCAGTGAGCTAATCAGCTCGCCAGTCAGTACTCAGTAACAGTAATGCCAACCAATCAGCACTCACTAGAACTAATACTAGTATCCTACTGCCCAAAACCTGTTTGCTGTCGAAAAATGGAAAGATACTGGTAAATTTTCTTTGATGTTTTAATGTAACACGTCCTTCTGCTTTCCAAACATAAAGATGCTCCAGTCACACATTCATCAAGCACTTGCTCACAGGCGCCCTCTAGTGTTTTCTGTCATCTCATTTGATATAATGGAAGAAATAGGAAGTGGCCAGGCTCCCCTTAAACTAGCTGTGGTTTCACCAAAGTCCTTATAGGATAGTCTGTCCACTTCATGGCCATCCAGGCACCCATACAAGATCAGACTCCTGTCTTTTGGAATGTGAAGAGACCTATAGACCCCCCTAAGTAAAAGCCAAGTGAATGTCTCAAAAACATTTGAAATCACTGCTAAAATCTGACCAAAACAGCAAATAGTGTGCAGCGTTTGGCTCAAATAACACAAAAACACATTTTTTCAGCTTGTTCTGGCTGCTGCGCATGCACATATCTCCACAATGAGGGGGGCTTTTTCCGCATGCAGCTTAACCAGTAAGTTGATGAAGTTTGAGACTTTCACCATAAACTGACGTCATGTAGAGCATTACGAACTTTTCCATTAATTTTCCACCCAGTGAACTGCCTCCTCCTTTATAACGTCTGGGGTATCACCCACTACACTATACCAACCACTGGTTATATCAACTAGACATATTTACTTTACTGACTTGTGGCACAAATGTCGGCGCCTCCTAAAGGCACAAGATATAAAAGCACACTTGATTGATCCAGGGAGCCTGTAGGGTCAATTAAATGCCACAGATGTAAGAAACGTCCAGTGATAAGCACAATAAAACACACAAGTGAACTCCTTATCTGGCAGAATTCAGTTTGGCAGTGATTATCTTCAATGTGAAGTGTGTTTATGTGTTGGACACGGTTGTTGTTGGACACAGTAAACTTGTTCTGTTACTGACTGAAGCACATTGACGGTTTGCGATGATTGTTTATGAGCTAATAAGGAAATGTAGCAAGTCTGAGGTGTGTGAGTTATAGAGAAGAGAGAGAGAGAGAGAGAGAGTGAAGCAGAGGTAAAAGCGATCCAGTGTACCTCCCCTGATTTTTAAATATGTGTAAAATGTTTGTATGCAGATTACATTTTTTTACAGCGTGTGCGAATGTGGGTGGAGATTATGACCCGTGTGTCTGCGCTGGTTTGTACAGCATGCATGTTTGGGTATTCGAATGTGTTGCATGCTTTTACATGTAAGAGAGGAGGAATTTTTAATGTTTTTATCTTTTTAAATCATTTGATTCATTTTTTTACATGAGTTCCTCCTCTGTTTTTGGAGATAAACTGTCAACCCAGCATGCCTACTTTGGTTTATAATGAAGCTGACATGAGAAAGATGATTGTAATTAAATAAAATCTCTAAATAGAAATGGGAAAGTTCTTTTACTTTTGGTCAAAGTCAGTTTTACCATCATACACCTGGTGTAATCTGAATTCAGCATTTAGCTGAAAAATATGGGTGTTCTGTCAATGTATTATTGATTAAAAGTGGAGGGATGGAGCCAAAATATGATGTCAAATAGTACCGACTTTTAAGCTACTCAAATATATTATAGTAAGAAGGTAAATAAAGAAAATATGTAGTAAAATGTGTGGAAACTTCACAGATTGGCAACATTGTTTTAGGGTTTATGAGTCGTTTGCACTTGGATGTATACACTGGTGCAAAATCAGGAGTGGAAGGAGGGCACAGTCCTCCCACTTTTTAAAATTTTGTGACATAATATTGGGGTTGTTACAGGAAGGTTTGTCTCAAAAAGCAAAAAATACATTAAATATTGCTGATAATATATTTTTAAGGAGGACTTTTCCATAAAATCGCAAACTAATATTATTTTTGTCATTGTGAGCCAAACTGATTTAGCAGAAAAAAAAACTCTGGGTGCAGCAGTGCTCAGTTACAGAAGCCCATTCATAATTTGAATTATTAAGAGGACATTGTGACACCCAGTCAGGTCAGTAAATATTTGGACATTTATCATTGGACAGTTTTTTTATTGCATCATATTGGAGTTGAATTTAAACAATGAATATGAGCTCAAAGTGCAAACTTTCAGTTTTAATTTGAACATTTGAGGTTATCCAAATTGGGTGAACAGTGTAAGAAGTACAACCATTTTCTTATGCAGCCCCCCATTGTTACTGGCTCAGAAGTAATTGGACAATTTGCTGCTCAGCTGTTACAAGGCCAGGTGTGTTATTCCCACATTATTTCACTTACATGTCAGCAGATAAAAGGTCTACTTTTGGCTTCAAGTGTGGTGTTTACATTTGGAATCTGTTGCTGTTAACTCTCAATGTAAGGTCCAAAAGAGTCAATCATTAGGGTGAAAAATCAAAACAAACCCGTCTGAGAGAGCAAAAACATCTGGTGTGGCCAAATCAACCACTCGGTACGTTCTTAAAAAGAAAGAATGCACAGGCGTGAGCTCAGAAACACCAACAAGTCCGAAAGCAGACCACCTCATCTGTCGAGCATGGTGGAGGTAGTGTTATAGCAGGACCGTGTGTGGCTGCCAGTGGAACTGGTGCCCTTGTATTTATGGATAATGTGCCAGCTGACTAAAGCAGCAGGATGAATTCTGAAGGGCTACAGAATCTGCTCAGATTTGGCCAAATGTTTTGACAGCACTTCACAGTACAAATGGACAGTGACCTGAAGTACACTGCGAAAGCAATCCAAGACTTTTTAAGGCAAAGTGTTGTGTTCTGGCCGAGTCAGTCACCTGACCTCAATCTGATTGAGCATTCCTTTTTATTTACTGAAAGCAAACCCTGAAATGTCTGAATCTTTCCTCTAACAAAAACAAAATCACCGCTTTGATTCTAAATTTTCTGTATTACGATATTCACTCACAGTTTCATAGTCCTTTGTATGTTTATGTTGATGTATATATATATATTTTTTATTTCACATTTTATATATATATATATATATATATATATATATATATATATATATATATATATACACACACACACTCTTAAAAAGATGGTGCTTTAAGGATTCTTTAGTAAAGAAAATGGTTCTATATAGACCCATGAACACTCATAGAACCTTTTGCATGATTAAAGGGTTCTTTGCATCATGAACGGGTTTCTCAGGTTGTTTGCGAATGTGCTGTAGATGGTTCTATATAGAACCTTTTTGAAAAGGACTCTAAATGGTTCTTGTATTGTTGCTGGGTCACACCTGTAATAATAAACGAACCTTTTGGGTGCTATATAGAACCCTTTTCAACAGGACCATCTATACCACATTCATGCACATTTTCCATCAGTGTGAAGAACCTGTTCATGATGCAAAGAACCCTTTAATCAAAGGGTGCTGTTTTTCTCTAGGGAAGTTAAGACAATTGTCTTTAGTGCTATTTAGTGACATAAGGGATCTCCGGGTTGGGGCCTGTGGTCACGCAGGCCTGGAGGAAAAAAGGAACGGGATTTTTGCCAACGCTCTGTAAAGCTCATTCAACCAAACAACAGCTGCTACATAAGAACACACTTGTGGGCGGAGCATGGACAGGTCAGTTCTCCTTCATTCTCTGACCAGACACGTTTAAGTCCCGCAGCAAGTCGTCAACACGACCACGTGATGCTCTGGCCCCTGCCGCCTGAGTCTGGTGGCTGAGTAAATCCTGGCTCCTTTTATCCGGGGGCGCGCAGGTTACAGTGGGACGAAGTGGCTTTGACCTTACACTGATCAGCCTGAGTGCTGCTCTCAGCCAATCAGAGAGAGACGCAGATCAGCAGCTCATTCAGAGAGCCTGTACGAGACTGAGAGCGTGTGGATTTAAATTGCTCTGCCTCAGTGTGATCACCTCATTCAAACGTGCAGTCAGAAGGAAGACGGCTCAAAACTTTGCTCTTCAAAGTTCTCAGTCTGCAGGTAAGATGGTCATTTATCATTTATGCTCCTCCTTCTCCTTTTTCTACTCCTTTTTCTACTCCTCACTTTAAGTGTTAATGGCTTTACTGCTCACTTATCTCTTTTATTGCTTTACACTTCTGTTCACATTGAAGGGGAATTCCATTGATTTTTCAAAATTTCTGCATAATTAAAGGGTTGAGATGTAAACAGAGTCATTCAGAGTGGTTTGGTGTGAAACGCTCTGTTCTAGAGAAACTTAATGAGTCAGAATTGTTCACAGTGGTGGTGATAGGAACCAGACGTCCACCTCTGAAAGCTCCCTCACAGAAAGTTATTAGACACAATAGTTATGAAGATGCTTCCAATAGTTCTGAGCTAAAGTTTTGATCCTAAAGTGTTTTTTTTCCAAATCCATTCTTAGTGGAGGGGTACATGCAGAGCATTGTAAGGCAAAATACTCCCCCTTTTTTTTCAGATTTTCCACAATTTTACCATCATCAACATGGTATATAAAAGCTCACAAGACACATTTAGGCTGCCTGCTGATTTTGGATAGTAAATAAAATGGCTATATTTGTGCTGTAGACATGGTGACGTCTGGTTCCTATCAGCACCACTGTAAAGAAATCTGTACATTTCTCCACTGTGAGCCATTTCACAACAAACCACTCTGAACGGCTCTGTTTACATCTCAACCACTGAATTCAGAAATTTTGGAATTCCTCTTTCATAAATTATATTACAACACAGTTGAATGTTATTTGTGCTAAATGATGACACTTGAATCAGGTAATACTGGTGCATCACCTTTTTTCAGTGTGAATATTTATTCATTTATTCCTATATTTTTGTGTTTTTTGTTTGTTATGGTGTAAAGTGACTCAGCTTTCCAGTTCTAATGTACAGAAGACAACCAAACATTTTAACCCCTTACACGGCCCTGCCCACAGTTTTATCACACACTTCTATAATCTAAGAATAGCTCAACCAGTTTGCATTGGAGTCCCTGTTGTTACTGAATAATAAGCCTTAATATGTAATAAACCTGGGATTTTAAGGGGTCAGTCCTTATTATTTCAAGCAGAAATAGATGTAACAGTAGCACCTGGAAGGTAACTGTGGCCAGCTAGTTTGCCTGGTCGTCCCCTCATGTTCCCACAAGAGTTTTTCCCCAGCATGCAGGGTGATATGTTTATGAAGGATGTTCAGCGATTCAGGTCAATGAACTGTCTGGTAAAGTAAGCTGAGGCAACTGGTGTTATACAACACTTACACTTGTGATTTACTACTAGACGATTCGGTGATGGATTACTAGATCATATAATAATCTACTAGTAGTAGACTATTCAATCGTCTACTAATAGACATCTCAGTGATCTACTACTACATAATTCAGTGCTGTCCTATGGATTAATCCAATAAACCTTCTAGACTATTCGGTCATGCTCTACCAGACAATGCCATCATCCACTACTAGAGAATTCTGTACCAGATAATTAAGATAATACAGGATAGTTCAGTGATCTACCACCAGATCAGCTACTAGAGAATCATTTGATCTACTATCGGATAATTCAGTGAACTTCTACTTGATTCTTTGAGATAATTCAGTGATCTACTTCTAGCCAATTCAGTGATCTACTACCAGATAATTCAGTCTGTGAGATTTGTCAGTGAATTACCACAATGCAATTCAAAGCTCTATTACCAAACAATTCAACGATCTTGTTCCTAACAGTTCAATGATCAGCTTCTAAAGAGTTCAGTTATCTACTCTTAGATAATTCCGTGATCCTCTGAGATTCTACAAGACAGTTCAGTGATCTATGAGATAATTTGTGGTCTGCAACAATTCAGTAATCTACAAGAGAACTCAGTGTTTTCTGAGATTATTTAGTGATCTACAATGCAATTCAGTGACCTATGAGATTCAGTGGTCTACAAGAGAATTCAGTGATCAATGAGATAATCTAGCGATCTGAGATAATATATTGGTCTGTGAGATCTATGAGATAATTCAGCCATCTACAAGACAATTTAGTGATCTGTGAGATATTTCAGTGATCTGAGATAGTTTAGTGATCTTCCATGAAATAACTCGGTGATCTACAAGACCATTCAGTGATGTCTAAGAGAATTCTTTAATCTGAGATAATTAATTGATTTATGAGATAGTTCAGCGATCTTCCATGAGATAACCCAGTGATCTAGGAGATCATTTAGTGATCTAGGAGATCGTTTAGTGATCTTCTACTACACAATTCAGTGGTAGGTACCAGATAATTAATTGATCTTCCGCGGGATAATCCAATGATCTACTTCTAGACAATTCAATGATCTACCGCTAGAGAAAGAAATGATCTTGCGTCCAGTTGCTTTGATTTACTACTTCTGGACAATTCATTGACCTGCATGGCCGAAATCCTCCTCAGACATGAGTCAGTGTTTGTATGCGTGTGATGTTGATCAGTCACAGGACGTCAGTTAAAGGCAGACGTCAATCTAAGCCAGATTATTTGTCTGACATTGTTTAGGACAGTGACTGACGTCCTAGTTTGGCTATAATGCTGTGTGACAGGGGTTTCAGTTCCGGTCCTGCAGGGCCTGAGTCCAGCACAGTTTGTTAATTTATCTGCCCAAATACTTAACCTGGTAATTAACTGTTGAGTAGAATCACTTTAGTTTGAGCAAAAAAAGTTGACCAGCAGAGGGAGAGGGCCTTTCAATAACGGAACTGAATACCTCTGAGTTCTTGGGTCTTTTTACACTACATACACTTACAGAATGCAGGACTGGGTGGATGTATATTCGGTGTGGATGTAATGTGACCAAAAACAGCAGTAAAAAAAACTGACTGTTGTTTATCAGCTTGGAAATATTAGGGAAATAAGCTAAATCTGCCCTTCACCAGTCCGTTCGGGGGGTGCTGTATGTTTCAAACCTACATGGGTCTGTAGATTGGCTTTGGGCTTCTGTTAATTTGCTTAAACCAAAATAGCAGTGGCTAAGTCAATGAGCTCTAATGCCTCTTACAGTGAGAAGGCCTCGCCCCTCTTCCTCCTGCCCTCTCTCTCTCTTTTCATTCCTCCATCATGCTGCCGTGTCCTTTTCTTTCATCACTGTCACTGTGGTGCAGGATATACAGTATCTGATTACATGACCACCTTCTGGAGGCTCACTGATCGGGTCAAATCAGGCCTTGCATTTTATTTCTAACTTCCCTTATAGGTTTATTATTCAGTTACTAATCGTTGCATTTATTATTCAGTAAATATTACAAATTATTTAGTATCTACTATTAATTATTTAGCATCTACAATGAATTATTCAGTATCTACTATGAATTATTCAGTACTTACTATGAATAATTTAGTGTCTACTATTAATTATTTGGAATCTACAATGAATTATTCAGTATCTACTGTGAATTATTCAGTATCTACTATGAATTTTTCAGTATCTACCATTAATTATTTGGAATCTACAATTAATTATTCAGTATCTACTGTGAATTACTCAGTATTTACTATAAATTATTCAGTATTTACTATTAATTATTCAGTATCTACTATTAATTATTCAGTATCTACTGTGAATTACTCAGTATTTACTATTAATTATTCAGTATGTACTATATTTAGCATCTATTATGAATTATTCAGTACCTACTATTGATATTCAGTAACTACTATGAATAATTTGGTATCTACTATATTCAGTATCTATGATGAATTGTTCAGCACCACTATTAATTATTCAATATCTATTATAAAATATGTAGCATTTATTATCAGTGATCAACTTTGATTTAGTCAGTATCTACTATAAATTATTCAGGATCTACTATTAATTATTGTTCAGTACCTACGATGAGACTAATATGCAATTATATAATTTTGAGAGGGATGAACTGGAATGTGGATCCATATAGATCAAACATGCTAATGTGACTAACAATGAAGCTTTAAAAGGTTCTTCATACTCATAAACCTTTTTCAGACATGGTTCCTCAGGAACCCAAAGCGGTTCTTCTATGGCATCGTGAATGATGTGGATAAAGAGTGTATAAAGAAATATGCAGCAGAGGCTTTGACCCTTGACCCTTGTTCTTTTCACAGATATTTGCCCCCATCATGATCTCCCAGCGTGGGGTGGTCTCGTTCTTGGCCTGCCTGTTACTCCTGGCAACGCTGCTTCCTGACGTTCAGTGCCGTCGGGGTGGTAGTTTCGGACGTGTTGCCGGTGGGATGGGTCGCGGTGGAGGAGGATGGGGAGCAGGAGGAGCTAACCGAGGAGGCTGGGGAGGAGCGAGCCACGGCCACCCCCATGGCCACCCCCACGGTCACCCCCACGGTCACCCCAACACCCACAGAGCCCCTCCTGTCCACACCGGAGGTCACAGCTCCTCCGGCCCCAGCGCTGGGAAGATAGCAGGGGCGGCTGCAGCCGGAGCTTTGGGCGGTATGGTGCTGGGGCACGGCCTGAGCTCCATGGTCCAGCCTGGGTATGGCCATGGCCACGGCTACGGCTATGGGGGGTACGGGCATGGGTATGGCCATGGGCACATGGGTGGACACGGCTACCCCCGACACGGCAGCGAACACCATGGACACACAGATGCAAACGAGACGGACTCAGAGTACTACATAGATGCGGCCAGCAGCGGGTCTGTGTACAGCTGCGTTTTGCTGTTTGGGGCAGCCGTGTCCTTCACGCTCGGACACTGGCTCTCATAGAGTGGACAGTGCCCTGAACGAAAGACTGTGAATCACATCACCAGTACTCAACATTCAGTGTTTAATAATTGTTGCCATAGTCACAAAGTTGTTTGGAATATGCGCCAAACAATTGAATCCTGAATCAAAGAGCCAAGTTTCACTATTCAGTATTTCTGTTGAATAGTGAATCTGGTCCTTTGATTCAAGATTCTTTGATTCTTTGAGTCAAAAATCCATCTTTAATGAACTTATTCGACATGCGCTGCCATGACAACAAACAGATATGTTGGAATTTTGCGCCAAACCATTGAACAGAACCAACATTGATGGTTCAGTATTTAATATGTATTGCCATAGCAACGAATTAGACTGAAATTTTGTCGCTGTTGAAATGAATTAGATCCAAAAAATTTGTCGCTGTCGAAGCAAAACCTCGTATCTCCAGAATGCACTGGGAGGAGGGGGAGAGAAGTGTCCTCATGAGTGTTTGGAGGGGGATGAGTTCCCCCCTAATAATTGAATCTCAACACATCTGGACTTTATTTTTAAGGCTTTTTAACAGTGAGTTGGGAAATTGCATCTTTTTAAAAACTATGAGAGAGAATATTTTATTAAAACCATATTTTCTTCCTCATCTTTAAACTTTAGACAGACTTATGGGAAATGGAGTCCATATACAGTTAGCATTGTGCATTGTTTAATGTAGCAGACTGAGCAGCTCAACTTTTATAAAGTTCAAGATATTTGAAAGTGAGCCTGTAGCTCCCCTGGATTAAAACCACTAATGATGTAACGTTAGTCTAGTTTGTTAGCGACAGCTAGCTGCTTAGTAGGTGTAGCACATTTATTTTCTGTGATAAAGTTGCCAGGTGTTCAGTTTTGGACCAGAGAGTCAATTTTTGAGCGACGTACTGTTGACTGGCCGTTAAAATGACCGGATGAGTCTCACTCTTTAGACATAAGCAGTGGTATGAGAACTGCGTCCCCCCAAAAGTTGAAATGAAATGTACACCTCTGCCAAAATAGCAAGCTTACTTCTTGTTAAAGTGAACTTAATGGAGGTTAATTAAATAACTTTTATCGTAACCAATTATGGACCATTTTTGTTGGACCATTCATTATAAAATTCTCTCAAAATGTAAAGGGCAGCTGACGTTCGGTCAATAAAAATAAAGTGGAGATACGAGGTTTTTTCCTTACAGCGAGAAACTGAATCTGAATTTGGTGGTTTTCTTCTACTCTTATTCTTTTATAAGAAATCTTTTTATTATGTAGGTGTTAAGCTGTGTAACTCAAGCCCAAAACATTTGTGTTCTGCTTGATTGACAGCTAATTTGACTAATCAAATTAATCTCCTACACTCAAAGTGTTTGAGTCACAAATATGTAAATATTGCACCTGTAGAGTGAGTATTTATATTTTCACATGTAAATAATTTTCTCATTTTTCTTATTTCTGTCTTAGTAAAATGTGATTTTGTTAATTATTCTGTAAGATTACATTTTGAAACTGCTTAATGAAACATTTAGCATCATAAAAAACGTATTGTCCTAGCAAACCGAGGCAGCTTGGCAATGACGGGTAGCGATATTAATATTCAAAATGCTTTAAAACAGCTGAAACCGAACCAGAATGACATTGGTTGGTTTGTCCTTTCGTGCTGAGCTCTCTCGTTACGTGTCGGAGTGTGTGCAGGCCCCGAGTGAAAAGGAAGTGGTCTCTGCAAATAGGCAAATCACATTATTAGTCAATAATTAGATTACCAGTAGACAGGATGCGGTGGACGTCAAGGTGAAGACAAATCTTGTTTGAGATCTAGGTACAGCCTACCTCATACAGTCATCTCTCAGCGAAAGTGTAGTGATTCTTTTTGCCAATTTAGGGGTTTATCTTAAATGAATACTTCCAGCCTAATCTCAGTCTCAGTCCAGTCCAGCATCTGCCCACTGACTTCTATTATAGGCAGGTTGCGAGTCAACAGGTTTTCTAGTCTTTCCTGTGAACAGAAAAATGCACTGACATTACTGTGGTAATGGACTGTATGACACAGGCGCAGCAGACAGAGACTGGGTTGAGAAACGCTGGACTCTTCCTTTAATAGCTTTAATAGCAGTGCTTCTTTATGTACTTCTGCTTTTGTAATGCTGAACTGTCCGATTCGTCCCAATGTAAACTAACACAAGACTGCAAACTATTCCACACTGAACTGTACAGGTTTTGTGGTTAGGTGGTGCCTGTGAAGCAATAAAGAATCCCTCTGTGCGGTCAGTGTTGACTCTTTGACCTTGTGTACCGTGTTTCCATTCATGTGACGTAAATCTGTGAAGACCAGCAGAATCCTCTTCAACAGTGAGTCACTACAGAGAGGATTACAGAACAATGTAAATGGATCAAATCAGGCTGATACACAGAGACAGCGGATTAAAGAGATTTTACATTGTGTGTTCGGTTCCGGTCTGGCAACTTACAGGGGGATTCCACCAATTTATCAAAATTTCTGCTTAATTTAGGCCCAATCCCGTTTCCTATTTTTACCCCCACACCTTGTTTCCGAGTGCCTCCTTGCCCCTTGGAACTGAGTTACAAGGGGTAGTGGTTGAAATCTTCCCCTATGAAATGGGGCCCTCAAATAAAGAACATTACTTCATTAACAGCTACCAGCGCTGCTCTGTAGGCGACCCTGCTAGTCTGCAGGTCAGCAACCTCAGTGCTGGGCTTTAGTTACATTTAGGGCATCATACACCTTCAAAGGGGGGGACAATTATTTATTATCACCCACTCCTAATTCTTCAGTGATATGAAGCTGAATTCAGTTATTCACCAGCTCCTTGTTTGAATTTTCCCGTTCCACCTTAAATGGAGCAGCAGTTCTGACGCCTGAGGTGTTCAGAATGAACCACTGCACCATTTAAGGTGGAACAGGAAAATTAGCCAACTAGACACCGAGACATCAGCATACTAGTGATTTTTTTATGCTTGTTATGAAGAAAATCACCATAATACACTGAAACGACATTAAACTAATTCTTAATGCAGAAAATTCTCACATTTGTGGGTTTATTTGGTCTCTTGTTCAGCCATCTTGCAGGTTTTTCTTTTTTTTCTCATAACTCTCTGTTTGGAGTCTCTGAAAAACCTCTGTTTGGAGGGTCATGTAGCCCCAACACTTCACCCTACCCCTCTATCTCAACAACTATTGGGACACCCTTACCCTAGATGAGAACACACAAAACAGAGGGGTAAGGGTTAAGTGGTAGTGGCGAGGGGTGAAATGGGATCGGCCCTTAGTCACTGAGATGTAAACAGAGGCTTTCAGAGTGGCTTAATGTGAAATGGTTCATTGTAGAGAAAGTTACAGACTCAGATTTCATTACAGTGGTGATGATCTGACCATCAGATCAGAATCTGTTTTTCTGTTTTGTGGACACGCTTTCGTGTCCCCAAGTCACTCACCTCCTCTTCCTCACAATAACATATGCTCAGGTTATGCTTTAAAATAGTTATAATTTTTAAAGGGCAATTCCAGCCTAAAACTAGCTTTTAATGTTATGAGTTGTGTTATGTAGTATTTTGTAGTGAAATATTTTATCCCTCAGCCTCATCAATTTGACAGAATGCACGATTTTGTATTGTTTTTATGTTTTCAATATCTAGCAATTATGCAAAAATATGTCATATTATCCTTGGGAATCAAGCGGTAAACAAAATCCTGATTGACAGCGTAGCAACTAATGTCAGGGCTAATAAATACAGACATGATTTTGAGCTATAAGCAGTAATGTTCGCTATCTGGCTCCAAAATCTCCTCCCACCTTCAAGATACATCAGAAGGGAGGCTGTCTAGTCTTTAAACTAGAAAATCTCACTGTAAATACTATTGTGGCAAAACTGTAGGAGGTGTGTAAACATGTTCACAACAAACATAGTGATAGTGCCCCTTTAAAGATATATATATATATATATATATATATATACACACACACACATATATATATATATATATATATATAAAAGATACAAATACACACTTTTAACACTGAAAAAAATCACAAATCCAGGTGTTTTTTTTCATAAATTGCTTTTATATGTTTGTATATATGTAGTGAAGCAGCAGGGCCTACATTAATTACGTGAGACGCCTGTACAGAAGACCAGTGGAGGCTGAAGGACAGTGCCAAACTGCATTACTACTGCAGTGCTCATGAATAAATATGAGAGAGGAGGAGTACATATCGGAGCGCATTAGATCAGCAGGCAACGACGAGATTTGGCCGCGTGTACGAGTTCTGCACTTTACAAGAAGAACAGAGCGAGACGACGAGAGAAAGGAAACCGGACACGTGTGAGTCAGTGGGATGAGTTAAGTAAAGTGAATGTTTTGGCATGCGCACAGTCGATTCCACAGACATCCAGAGAAAAATGAGACACTGAAGATGACAGATCCTTCTTGGTTTGTCTCTGAGATGAGTAGCAGTGATACATAAAAAGCAGGAGGCTATACAGTAGTTGATGCTTTTCGCCCGTCCACTCGTTCTCCAGTTTTAATAGCAGCTCGCATCCGATCGTTATTGGTCCGTTTTTCCAACCTAGAAGTAGTATTGATGAATGTGCCAGTGTATGACATCCAGTGTGTTTAACAGGTCTGTTAGTGCAGCTACATTAGAATTCCAGTTTGATAATTCTACTCATAATGGACTGAGAGATACGTCTGTCTGTCTGTCCGTCTGTGTGTGAGAGATAGTTCTACATTCGGCTTCCTCTTGTGCTGAATTAGTGTATTTGTGTATTTCCATAGTCTTAAAGCAAAGGTGCAGCCAAAAATGTTCCTCTTACTTCACATATAGTCAATCAGCCAAGACTTGTTTGGTGTTCTCTAGTTTTGCACTGAAGCTACGAGGCTAATGCTGAGTTGTCCAATTTACACAATTATCCACGTTCCCCGGACGTGCCAAGACAAGTTTGCTGTCCAAATTTTGCTTCTTTACTTTAGCACTCATGCTAACATTGCTAACAAACACTAGAAGTCAATAGTCACCCAAATACTTTTCAAAAAATACATACCCCAAACTTGTCTTAGCCCACTCGAACCGCATCCAGCTCTTCATTAAGGTCACACAGACGTGCTGATGTGCTTTAGGACACAATGAGCTACACTATGTCAACGAAACTTCACCGTGAAGCTGAACACCGTGTTCATCCACTTCAGACCGGGGCCGAGCGCACAATCCAGCTGCCCTTCGCATGCCTGGGCTTTACACATTCATGATTTTTGGTGTTTCTATTTTTTAAAATATCTTTGAGATGAACAGTTGTTTATAAAAAAGAAACAACAGAAATCTCTTAACATACTGTTTAGCATCCATATGCCTGCATGCACACGGTGGACGACCCGCTGGTTTTAGGTACACAGTTTTGTTCAGTTTTTATACTTCCCAGTAAGTCACATTGTGCCTTATTCGGAAAAACTTTGCCAGTAGCTATGACTGGCTAAACAGTAAACACTTGATTTACAGCAGCAGCACAACGGGAATGTTTTGCCCTTCCCTCATGTAAAATCCTTGCTCACGGCATCATGTTGAAACAGTCTGCAATCACTGGATAGGGTGTGCATTCAGTAACTGCTAAAATGTAAAATGCTTGGACCCCTTGGATTGCCAATTGCAAGTACATTTATCTTTTGCATTTGTTTAGCATCCATATGCCTGCATGCACACGGTGGATGACCCGCTGGCTTTAGGTACACAGTTCTGTTCAGTTTTTATACTTCACAGTAAGTCACATTGTGTCATAAACTACATCGAAAAGTGACACAGACAACCTTAATAAAGACCTGGATGCAGTTTGAGCTTTGGGGATGTGTGTACAGAAAAGATTTGGGTGACTACTGACTTCTACTGTTAGCCTTGTAGCCCCAGTGCTGAACTAAAGAAGCAAAAATTAGACACCAAACATGTTTTGGGAGATCAACTAGCATCTGGGGTATGTGGAAACACTGTGTATATTAGATTTGTGGCTGAACCATTACTAGAAGACTGTAGCCAATGCTGCAGCGATTAGATGCTACTGTTTTTAGCTTTTTAGCTACATACACCTTTGTTCTTCACAAGGTTTCCATTACTTTTTAGCTACATTAGCCTCGTAGCTCCAGTGCAACAATAAAGAAGCAAACTTCAGACACTAAACATGTCTTGGCGGATTAACTACATTTGAGGTAAAAGAGAAAAATGAGTAAATTTCATTTTTGGCTGAACTAGTACTTTAAAACAGTTCTGCCCACTCTGCGCTGGACTGAGTCTGTATATCGTTGTTGTCGGTACAAAACCTTGTATAACTTTAGAGAACAGGAAAAAAAAATTTCTTAACTTTTAAAGTAAGGTAAAGTACAAATCATCTATTGCAAGTAATTTTTGACCATTTCTTTGGGTCCATCCATCATGAAATTCTGATATAATGTAAAGGTCACCTGGCGTTAAGGGCTGAGAAGGTCAGCTGGCGTTAAAGGCTTGAGAAGGTCAGCTGGCGTTAAGGGCTGAGATACAAGGTTTTGTCCCAACAGCGACGATGCATGACAGTGTATCATATGTGTATGTATGTGTGTATGTGTGTAGGCATGTCTGTATGTATGTCTTAAACAGTCCTATCGGTGCCCGAGCGTTTACGGACCACCTTCTCGCCGCTGACCTGATCCACAGCGAGCGTCTCCACCTCTGGCTGTGCCCTGGCTGCCCCGCCCCCTGCTGAGGGTGAGCGGTGGATCCTGTGGGCCACGCCTATGTGGGCTGACCCTCGGTTCCGCCCGTCCCGCACCGGGCTACTTCTGGGGCTCGGGGATGCTGGGAGGTGGGCGGGGCTTGATGGGGCAGAGGGACTGGTTTGGGGCGCAATAGGCGGGATTACTGGGGGTCGTTCCCGTAGCAATGGCTGCGCCTCAGCTGATGAATTTGGGGGCGGCTCTCGAGCCTGCAGGAACGGAGTAGGGTCAGGCATGGCATCCACTGCGTCTCTCAGGACGACCCTCCGCCCCTCCGCCGCCCCGAGCCGGTACAGCTCAGTGTATTCGGAGTGTAGCGGCTGAGACAGGCTTTTGCGCATACGCCTGCGAGGAGTGTCCGGCTGCCGGCCGTCTGAGGCGTTGGTTGGTGGGTCAGGGGGTGGAGCGGGTTTGAAAGATCCAATAGGGCTGACCGCTGGGCTTGCGCCGGACGAGCCGCCGGCCAGCAGCCTCTTTTTAGTGGCGTGGAGCTGTGAGGTGAGGTAGGCGATAGTGCTGGCCCTCTGCTCTAATTCACCGGACAGCACGGCCAGCCGATGGCTCTTCAGCTTTAGCTCGTCCAGGTACTTTTTCTCACGCTCGCGGATGGTGTTCTCCAGCACGGAGATCATGGCGTTCTTTTGCTCCAGATCACGCATCAGCTCAGCGTTCTCCTGCTCTTTGACCTTCAGCTGAGCCTCCAGCTCCTCACAGCGGCGCTGCAGCTCCCTGCACCGCGCCTCACCACTATCTGAAAAACAAACACAGACATGCAGACGCCTCACTGTCTACAAGCGCTGGGTATGGGAACATATGTATCCTATTTGATTACAAATATGTAAGATATGTAATATGTCACATATTGCTGTTGTCAGAACAAAACCTCATATCTCCAAAATGGCAACTTTACAGGAGAAGAAAAAACCTACTTTACTTTTAATGTAACCAGACTTTTTTCCTAGTAATTCTGGGCCAGTTATTTTGGTCCATTTTTCATGAAACCTACAAACAATGTAAAGGGTAACAGGCATTTTCAAATTATGTCAAAAACTGGAAAACGATAACAGCGATATGTAAGTATCTCTATGTTATAATAAATGTACCACATGTATTATACATATGTAAATACCTACACATAACAATATTGCAAAATTTTATATATATATATATATGTAACGATAAATCTTTGCTGTCAGAAAAAGACCTTGTATCTTCATTATTTTCAGTTTTTTACATAATTTAAAAAGTACTGTGGCCCTTTACATTGTGTGTAGATTTTATGATGAATGAACCAAAAGAAATGATGCAAAATTACTTGTAAAAAAAAGAGTCTGATTATTGACTTAAGTAAGTCCAGTATGTCTTTTGCTTCTCCTGTAAAGTTAGCATTTTGGAGATATGAGGTTTTGTTCCAAAGGCACTGATATTTAATAGATGTATAATCATATACACGTATGTATATATACATATAAACTACTGGTTACTGAGGTTTTATATATATATATAAATATATATATATATATATATATAGAGAGAGAGAGAGAGAGAGTTTTAGAATATAATGTTTAGAATATGATATTTAAGATATTAAAGCTATTAAATAACACATTTTGAATTCTGCAAATAAATAAATACATACATACATTTAATTTCAGATTACTTTAAAAATTAGCCCCCCATTGGCCTTGTTGTAGTTTTACACACTGCTGGCGTTTTCTCAAGCAGCTTCTAGACGACCCACCTGCGATACTTTTCCAACAGGACCTTGATGTTGGGGGCTTTAAAAATTTAATTTAAAATGTTTGTTTTAGAAATAATTTAATATACAGGCTCCAACCTCACTATTTGTTTATGTCTTAGAAACAGAATTCATTCACATTTAAGCTGAAGCCTTTAGATCAGAATGTGTTTATCCATAAGGAAAGTGGATGAAAGGTGAGGCGCAGGCCTTCATCGGCGGAATAACAGGACCAGCCTGGACAGAGCTCTGTGTGACAATGGAGGATGATTTAACATGCTAAATATGACGCGTGTTAGAGTCACTTATCCTGACGTTCAACAGTGCTTAAAGCAGAAACAATGTTATTTCTACACTCAGCCTGTAGAGGGCAGTGCTGACCTGTGACATTCTTACACTTCCTCCACTCCCATCTACTTCTCTAAGCATTACAGCACTGACTAAAGGCTTAGGGGTATTTTGAGAACCTCATGCTCATCTCAGCAGTGTTTTAGATATAGAACATGATGCACACGCACACGCACACACACACACACACACACACACACACACACACACAGCCATATGCAAAACACCCCTGGCCAAATCACGTTTTGTTGATTTTCTAAGTGTAATAAGCGTAAATAAGCTACACATCCTTTACAGAGAACAGACTTCTGCACACCTTTACACACAATTACTGTGTATTTACTGAATTTAACATATTGGGAACAATAAAACAAAATATGGCCTGTTATTTTAGGCCAAAGTCATTTTAAGCTTATTTTTTTCTAATACATTAAACTCAAATAAATAGAAACGGTGCATTCAATTTTTCAAAAAAATGTCATCTTTATGTGTGTTCTCTGTGTAGGATGTGTTAACTTATCTTCAATTAGAAAATCAGCAAAACGTCGTTTGGCCAGGGGTGTTCAAACTTTTGCGCAAGACAGTATACACCTAATGAATTTGTAGAAACATATGGAGGTAAATCTACGACCTCACAGTGATTCGATCTGATAATGATTCTTTAAGAAACGATTCAAGGCATAATAAAATCTCAAATTTCCCTGTAAACCAAATAAATGTCATTGTTTTTGTATGATTCAGTATTTTTAAAAAAATACACTGAATGCTTTAATGTGACACAGTACACAGTACTGAAACACAGATAACACAACATTTTTGGACTTTTATGTTTGATGTTATGTTACATTTATACTCGCAGTGCGAAATAACTTAAAACATGCCTATTAAAGTTATTTTGAATGTTTCTCTCTTTCCCTTCTCTCTGTGTCAGTGTCAACTAAAACAGGGTGGGGCTACAAACGTGCACTTCAGAGAGAATCAGAGAGAATCATCAGAGAGAGAGTGAGGGTGAGAGACAGAGAGATATAGAGGGAAAGAAAGAGAAAGCGAGAGGAGAGAGAGACAGAGAAAGAGAGAGACAGTGCTCTTGTTACAGTGTTAATCGATATGAAAAGAGAGGAGTGTCTCTCTGCTGACCTTCAGCTGTCTCTCTCTCTCTCTCTCTCTCTCTCTCACAACCCTTGATGCTGTTTCTTAACTGACACACACACACAAACACACACACACACACACACACACAAACACAGCACTGTGAGGCGTATATTCAGAAGGTAATAATGTGGTCTAAATGTCTGCAGTGGGGAATTATTTCATAATGAAATATGAAACCTTTTCAAATCTGCAGCAACAGAGCTTCAACTGCAGCCATGTTTTGTCTAAAGACTGCTAACCAACCATGCCACGTAAACTGTGAGCGAGTGGCTGCTGTTGTTATTCACTCACAAGTCACCAACATTTAAAAAACAAAACCATCACCAATACATGCAATTAACAGAAATATCTTATTAATACTGTATTATTAGTTATAGTGTATTAGTTCAGACGATATAACATTACACACATATCAAATGTGAATTTTTACTGGTTGCCAAATTATTAGGGAATTCAAACAAACTATCATGTCAATATTAAACACAAAATACAATAAAAAAGCGATCATATAGTCTAGAATGTGACATTTTACATGCATTAGAAATAAAACAATTTTACTGTAGTATTAACTGGCAGCCTATTTTTACTAAACTGTGTAGATATGTAGACAGACAGACAGACAGACAGAAAGAGACTACAGGATGAGCTCATGCAACACTAACCATGTGACTCACACACAGGGTCAGTTCTCCCTGACCCATCCATTACACCCAATCATGACCACCCCAGTGTCACCGAGCTATAATCATATACATCTATAAACCTAATTACACTGCACTCTCTCTGCTCCCTCTAATGCATCATACATTTTTCATGATGTCCTCACAGCTGATGGCTCATGCCAGACTTCTCTGATCACCAAAGGAACCTCCACATTACATGATTTTGTGTGAATGAGAATGTGAGCTGTATAATCTTTTCCAATCAGAACTGAGGCACTTTCACAGATCAGATGCAAATCCGATACGTGGCTGTGTGACCATAATGAAAATGGCTGAAATGAAACCATACCATGTCTTTCTGAGGTGAAAGACAACATTAGCACTAATATGCACTTTTTTTGGGGGTCTCTGTAAACTTCTACACCACTCTGTGTAGAAAAGGTCTCGGTGCTTTGTCTGCCCCCTCTGGAAAACTGTCCTAAACTTACTGAATATAATACTGTAAAATACCTGTGACAAAACAAAAATATCTATATTTACAGATTTATCTGTTTCTCAAAATTTCTTAACATCCCATTACATCACCAATCACAAGCTAATCAATCACAGGCTAACCAACCACCAACCACAGGCTCATGAATCATAGACGAATCAATCACAGGCTAATCAATCATAGACTAACCAATCACAGCCTACACAATCACAGACTAACCAGTCATAGACTAACCAATAACAGACTAACCAATCACATGCTAACCAACAGCAGGCTAACCAATCACAGGCTAAGCAATCACAGGAAATGTAATTATAGGCTAACCAACCACAGGCTTATTGATCACGAGCTAACCAATCATAGACTAACCATTCATAAACGAATTATAGGCAAAACAATTATAAACTAACCAATCACAGGCTAATGAATCACAGGCTAAAAAATCATAGACTAACCAATCACAGGCTAAGCAATCATAGACTAAAAAATTCCAGGCTAACCAATCACAGACTAACCAACAACAGGCTAACCAATCACAGACCAGACTATAAAAAGCTGATCAGCCTATGTGTGGGATTTTCTGGAGACCTGGGAAAGTCAGTTTTCTGTTGTTTTTCTGTTTCCTGGTCAAAACAGACACAGGTATTAATAATTTCACCTACTAAAAAACAAAAATCTCAGGGCTTGAGTTTCGAGAGGCCTCGGCCAGTCCTTGAGGGGTTGGTCATCCTAGAACTGGGCACTAAGTCTTGTAATGTGAACGCAGCCAGAGAGAGGTGTTCTCTCCCGAAAGCTCTTTGCTGATTCTCCTCAGCAGCCATGGCTAAGTGGTGTTAACGTTTGATTGCTCTCAGGGCCGCTCAGGTTTGGCTCGGACTGCAGATGGTGCATTAGCCCTGCTTTAGCATAGCAGCACCTAATCTCATTTCCTGTACTACAGTCTGGCCCACATCAGCCAACAACAACAAATTAGGACGGGTCTTAGTCGATCTCGCTCATATTCGGTGTCATTATATGAGAAAATCATTCCGAGCCTTTTCGGGAGGTGTTCATGATCAATTACTAACGCTGACAGAACTGGCCGTGTGCATAAATTGTGAGTGGTCAGTTCGACAGGCAGAGGATTTGATAAACGATGCATGTCCAGGTCAGGGTCATTCGCTTTTTATTTAAGCTTTAGAGGTGTGGAGTTGTATGCAATAATATTCAGATGTAATTATGTTTATTTTGTATGTGTTACATACTTAATTACATACGTACAGAAGTCCAGAGAGGCCATGAGGTAGTTATAATTTTCTGGAGTGTTATTTTGAGATAATGAGTTAATTATTTTGTTATCTCGAGATACCAAAAGTAAATTATCTACTATAACTTATCATATTACCCTGCAAATAGGAACTACAGTACGGTGAATCAGTGCAGTATATAAACAATACCTTACTGTAAAAACAGCACAATCTACATCTGTACATACTGTAACTGTGAATTACAGTATCAGTACTGTAAATAAACAGCACTGTACTGGATAAACTGCTCAGTTAATTACTGTAATTTTACAGTAAATGTTTTAGAGCATGAGTGAGGAATGATTCATATAAAATTTACATGAAATCATGTATCATATAAAGTAAAAACACATTTTTTTTATTGCTGACAATAACCGAACTAGAGAATAAGGAGGTAAAAGGAGAGGCGGGTGGGCACAGCAGGGTCTCAGTACGTGCGCATCTGTGTGTCTGCTGGGTGGGTCACCGGTTGCCAGGTTACAGAAGAAGGCCAAGGTGATGTATGTGTGGGTAGGGACAGTGAGCTAAGCGCCCTCTTTCTCTCTCTCTCTCTCCCCCTTTCCTCTTTTCTCTCTCCCCCTTTTTCTGTGTCACACCCCTCTCTCTCTTCCTCTCTCTCTGCAGCAGCACTAAAATGTTATTTATGAGCCACTGCAGTTTAAACCGCTCCAACTAAACCACCTCAGAATCGGCCTTGAGCACCAAAACAGGCAGCAGATGCTCACAACTTTCTGCTTCTCCACACATCAGCCAGGAGCAGAAAGGCTATGAAGTCACTGTGTTTGGTAAAGAAGCATGAAAGAGCGCTTTCCCAGGTTTTATATTTCTACAGCTGAGATGTCCTGCAGAGTTCAGTGTTTCTCCTGCTTTAACCTACCTGAGAGGATGATAACACTGCGCATCATGAACAGCTCTGTCACAGCTACACTTGAGCGCTTACGAGTCAAAGACCATTACCTTGTTGTACATGTGCAGTACATTCACTTTAACATAGTTAGGTAACAGATTACAGTTACGATCAATTAACATTCTGAGCACAATCAGGTCAGTACACTGAAAAAAAGTGCTGCAGTAAAGTTTCTTTAAAAGTGGAAACAAAATTTCTAATGAAATATATTACACTGTGTGTGTGTGTGTGTGTGTGTGTGTGTGTGTGTGTGTGTGTGTGTGTGTGTGTGTGAGAGACAATAGTGAGAAATCTTACCGTTTGGATCTGAACTCCTGACGACCAGCTCATATGTCAGGTCTGTGAAAACAAAAAGAGAGGGAGAAAGAGAGAAGGACAAGAAGTGTGTGTTATGAATGGACAGATGGACAGAGGAGAGAGAGAGAGAGAGAGAGAGAAGGACAAGAAGTGTGTTATGAATGGACAGATGGACAGAGGAGAGAGACAGAGAGAGAAACAAAAAAGAGGAGAAAAAGACACAGAGACATAAAGGCAGAGAGAAAGAAGGAGGGAAAGAGAAAGAAAAAGACAGAGAGAGAGAGAGAGAGAGAGAGAGAGAGAGAGAGGGAGAGAGAGAGAAAGTTTGTGGGGTGGGTTGTGAAGAGAAAAGTCAACTTTCTGGTGAAACAAATATTATTAAACATTATATCAAAATTATGCAGTATTATGCATCATGCTATATTTATTATATCTATTATGCAGTACAACTTCTATAAATTAGACAAGATCTGCCCATGTAAATGTAGTCATATGCAAAAGTTTCAATGCTCTTGTTTTGTTGATTTTCTGAGTGTAGATAAGTGAACACATCCTCTACGGAGAACATGCTTCTGCACATTTTAATACACAACTACCATTTAATTGCTGAATTTAACATACTGAAAAAAACAGAAAATATGGCTAGATTTTCTATTTTATGTTAAACTCAGCAAATAAAAAGAGATTGTGCCATAAAAAAAAAATCATCACGTTCAAGTGTGTTCACTGCAGAGGGCATGATAACTTACTTTCACTTAGAAAATCACCAAAACGTCATTGGACTGGAGGTGTTTAAACTTTTGCACACTTCGGTATCTTTCAGCACTCCCACACTTGTTCATTTAACATGTTTTGCTTGAACTTGTTTTAAAGATGTGAGTGAATGAGGGGGAACCATCCTGAGAGAGAATCATCCTGCGAGAGAATCATCCTGAGAGAGAATCATCCTGTGAGAGAATCATCCTGAGAGAGAATCATCCGGAGAATCATTCTGAGAGAGAATCATCCTGTGAGAGAATCATCCTGAGAGAGAATCATCCTGAGAGAGAATCATCCGGAGAATCATCCTGAGAGAGAATCATCCTGCGAGAGAATCATCCTAAGAGAGAATCATCCGGAGAATCATCCTGAGAGAGAATCATCCTGAGAGAGAATCATCCTAAGAGAGAATCATCCGGAGAATCATTCTGAGAGAGAATCATCCTGAGAGAGAATCATCCTAAGAGAGAATCATCCGGAGAATCATTCTGAGAGAGAATCATCCTAAGAGAGAATCATCCGGAGAATCATTCTGAGAGAGAATCATCCGGAGAATCAATCATCCGGAGAATCATCCTGAGAGAGAATCATCCTGAGAGAGAATCATCCTGAGAGAGAATCATCCTAAGAGAGAATCATCCGGAGAATCATTCTGAGAGAGAATCATCCTGAGAGAGAATCATTCTGAGAAAGAATCATCCTGCGAGAGAATCATCCGGAGAATCATCCTGAGAGAGAATCATCCTGCGAGAGAATCATCCTGAGAGAGAATCATCCTGCGAGAGAATCATCCTAAAAGAGAATCATCCTGAGAGAGAATCATTCTGAGAGAGAATCATCCTGTGAGAGAATCATCCTGAGGAAGAATCATCTTGAGAATTATCCTGAGAGGGAATCATCCTGAGAGAGAATCATCCGGAAAATCATCCTGAGAGAGAATCATCCGGAGAGAGAATCTTCCTGAGAGAGAATCATTCTGAGAATCATCCTGGGACAGAATCTTCCTGAGAGAGAATCACTCTGAGAGAGAATCATCCTGAGAGAAAATAATCCTGAGACAGAATCATCCTGAGAATCATCCTGAGACAGAATCATTCTGAGAGAGAATCATCCTGAGAATCATCCTGAGAGATAATCATCCTGAGACAGAATCATCCTGAGACAGAAACTTCCTGAGAGAGAATCATCCTGGCTGAGAGGTTAAATCTGTATTCACTGAATACATTTCAAATAATGTTGAAATCTGGTTTCTACACAAATGCACTGAGTGTGTGATGTGTTATATGTTCCTATAATATTATACAGTACATTACACGCCGTGAAGACCCTGTGTATATGTGTGCCATATTACCTGTGCAGTGCTGCTGTAGTCGGTGGATCTCTGCGTGAAGACCCTTCAGAGTGCTGGCGTGGTCCTGCTGCAGAAACAGCAGGTTCTTCTGAGCACTGTGGAGCTGATTCTCCAAGGTCACGTTCTCTGAGGCCATGATGAACAACACACACTCACACACTCTCACACACACTCACACACTCTCACACACAGCGAAAGCTGCAAACACAGACAAAACACACACACATTACTACATCAACCATGACCTTTATTTACACAGAGCACCTCATACCAGGAGGTTCAATCACTTAAATTCAATTCAGAATACCAAATTCTCCTGACAGTAGCCTGATGGACGATAAATTGAAGTTTTATCGTTATCATGACAGGAGTTTCCGTGATAAACACAGTGTTAAGAGCTGTGATGACAGAACGGATCAAATAATCTCATTCATGCAGCACCAGAAAGACGTTACATTGCTGACACAAACCGTTAGAAGCCTAATGAGCCAATTACTATACATACAATGCTCAGCTCAAAAACTCCTCCTTCCTGATCTACAAGCCTATAAAAACATATTAAACTTTAGGATTGTTCTCACACCCAGTATACACTATATATATTTATATGTTTCTGTAGCCTTTATAGAAAAAGCTGTTGAGGTAATGTTGACACACCTCAGTGTCACTGCTGGACTTAGAATAGTCCACCAAACAAAAATATCCAGCCAACAGCGTCCTGTGGGCAGCGTCCTGTGACCACTGATGAAGGACTAGAGGATGACCAACACAAACTGTGCAGCAGCAGATGAGCTATCGTCTCTGACTTTACACATACAAGGTGGACTGACAAGGTAGGAGGGTCTAATAGAGTGGACAATGAGTGGACACAGTGTTTGCAGTGCTGTGAATGATCCACCACACAAATAGTACCTGCTCTGTGAGGGCCCATGGGGGTCCTGACCACTGAAGAACAGGGTAAAAGGGGGCTAACAAAGTATGCAGAGAAACAGATGGACTACAGTCTGTAATTGTAGAACTACAAAGTGCACCTATATAGTAAGTGGAGCTGATAAAATGGACAATGAGTGTAGAAATAATGTTAATAATGTCATAATGTTATGCCTGATTGGTGTTTATGCCTGTCATCTTCTGCAGTGTTTTATTAGTTTGATAAAAACAAAAACTTGTGTGAAAGACGAGAAGTCCTCCTCAGCACCAATTAGCCCCTCGAAGTCTACTCTGACTAGCATCAATGTTATCTTTAGCATCAGCTCATCTGAAGGGGCTCATCTACTTTACATCCTTTTTTAGATACTTAACATCTTTTTTATATAATAGCAGTATTAACGATTTAATTTAAAATCAAATGACAACTTCTCTGCACTGACATACTCTAAAATCAGGAAATGATTGATGATATTGTCACTGTGGTAGTGAATTTATATATGATTTGCCATTTTATTTACGCTTTTGAATCGGCGTAACAATGCGGACAATGCTTCAAACGCGATAACAGCCATGTAAACCGCGTAAAATAATGCTTTATGGTGTCTCAAATGCATCTTAAGCTGCCTTCACTATAGTGCCTACACTATAACATCTCATTTTTTGTTAGGATGAGCGTTTTGGTGTTCATCATTTAGAGAAGACATCTTTATCTTTTTATCTTAGCTGTTTAGCATCAGCTCATCTGAAGGGGCAGCTATTTTACCTCCTTATTGGAGACTATTACCTGATGCTTTAATGTCTGGTCACTAAAAGATTTCCATGGTAATTTTTTATTTCAGCTGGCCAATATTAATATTTTCTCAGCTCTCAACATGTATGTCTACGTGCCACGGATGCCATGTGCTGGCCTGGACTGAAAGCCTGATGGACACAGTGACTGGACAGGACTTATCAATTTTGTAAACGGTTCTTTGTTTGATTTCTCCTCTGTTACATTTTGTTTTCCACCTATGCAACATTGTGATGACATATTTTTCCATACTGTCCACTCTTACCTCAGGGGTAGAGAGAGAGAGAGAGAGAGAGACAGAGAGAGAGAGAGAGACAGAGAGAGACAGAGAGAGAGAGAGAGAGAGAGAGAGATTATTATTATTAAACAAAGTAAAAATACCTACCTGGAACATTGGAAACACCAAATTCACTCACAAAACAGACTGAACTGCTTCCTGGCCCTAAAACAGGAATATAAATTGGCTGAATATCTTGTTACTGTCCAAGATATGAAGCAGAGATGGACCCTCACCAAATACAGACTCAGTGACCACAGCCTGGCCATCGAGAGAGGCAGGTTTAAAAAGTCCTGGCTAGCAAGAGAGAAGAGAGTGTGTGGTCACTGCAGGACAGGTGAGGTAGAGACAGAGGTGCACTTCCTACTGAACTGCCCAAAATGTGAGCCTATTAGAAATAAATATTTTAATCAATTTGAAAAACAGATAAATAACTTCAGGACGCTGGGAGATGAAGATAAATTAGTAATTACACTAGGAGAGGGTCCAGCAGTGTCCACTGCAGCCAGATATGTGTACGAGTGCCATACACTCAGGGACAGTGAGTGACCATGACACCACAGCCTTTACTCAATGTTATATATGTACATATGTAATATAAACATCCTTTTTTTTCAAAACGTCCAATGTTTTGTTTTTATTATTCCATATACTTTTTTATTATTGATTGATGATTAACATTTTCTCCTCTTAATAGTCACATATTAATCTTGATTTATATTTTGATGTATTTATTATTTTATTTATTTATTTATATACACACATATATATATATATATATATATATATATATATATATATATATATATATATTGTAATTAACTTTTGATATATAGACCATTTTTGTTATGCTTTGACAATATTTGTCATTTGAAAATTTGTCATGTCAATAAAGCAAACTTGAACTTGAACTTGAGAGAGAGAGAGAGACAGAAACAGAGAGAGACAGAGAGAGACAGAAACAGAGAGAGACAGAGAGAGACAGAGAGAGAGAATGTAAATTGAGCTGGGTAGATCAACCTCCTTGAGAATGAACCTCAATGCCACCCAACAACTGTATCCAACAACAACTCACCTGCTCTGTACTTAGCCGATTAAACTCACACTCATCCTCTACAAACATGTGGAGACGGTGTGTGTGTGTGTGTGTGTGTGTGTGTGTGTGTGTGTGTGTGTGTGTAAGCTTCTTTTGGATGATGCAAACAGTACGATACGGCTGAATAACGCTGCACTTGGGGCTGGTTTATTCAGGGACAGACGCACTGCTGATCTGATGGAATAATAAACAAAGAGAGAGAGGACACCACACTCACACACAAGCACACACCCACACTCACACACACACACACACACACAAGCACACACCCACACTCACACAAGAAGGGATGTACGACAAAGCCAAATACTAGAATAGTGATTATGCTGCTGCGTACTGGCATTAGGATTGTCACAATTTTCAATATTTACTGTAAAAGCTGAGATTAGATACCGTTTAACAGATGATATATTGTACAGCCCTAATAAACTCACTGCAGCATTACCCAGCTGTGCTGTATTGTATGTATCACCCAGGGACTCAATGATACCACATTTTCTCATCCAATCATCAAGAAGCTGCCCAAACAGGGTACCGATAATAAAGCTATCTAACCTAGGTGCCCTATAAATCTTCACATTTATACAACTCTGCTCTTTACCAATATTTTGGTAAAGACTGTGTTCTGCATTTTATTTCAGTAAAAAGGATGTTACATATTGTTTAACTCTCTAATCATTTGTCTCGTACGTGTGTCCCATATACCTGTGCTTACATATATGAGCGTTGGCTCCGCTGATCTTTAGAAACTATTAGTCAGCAGCAGCCATTATGCCACGGATTCTCAGCCTCAGGAGGCACAGCGCAGGTGATGCTACAGGACACAGTAGTCTGGCTAGTAAGCTGCTATGCTAAAGGCTAAACCTAGGCCAGGGGTTGGCAGCACGTGGCTCCGGAGCAGAATTAAACTTATAGGTGAAAATAAAATAATCCTCCTTTACAGTAAAATAAAGCTCTGCTGGTCGTTCAACACAGTTTAACAATAAATGGTCTTAAACGCTGGAGTTAATGTAGAACTGCTAATTCACCCTTTAACCCTGAAGGTTGGCATGCAGACTGCTGGTCGCCATAGCAACACAGATAACAATCTGGCCCAGCTAGTAGCTAACGAAAGAGCAAAGAGAAAGATTTAAGATGAACATTGATAATTTGGAGATAAATTAATTTATTTGCGTTTATAATCACTCCAGCTGGTTTCCTGATACGTTTAATCTGCAACGACAAACTGTCGAACGCTAAAACGTCGTGAAGCTGAAGTCAGCTCCCCTTTCACCAGCTTCTTGTTCAAATTTTCTCGATCCACCTTAAATGGTACAGCAGTTACATTCTGGCGCCTCAGGCATCATTGGTGGAACGGGAAAATTCAAACAAGAAGCTGGGCGAATGAGTAGCTGACTTCAGCCTCGTAAAAAGTCGAACGTTGAGAGACACAAGAAACTATTCTACTTTTGCAAAAAAGTTTCCTGCCAGAGATGTGAGAAAAGCAGCTACAGCTGAGCTAAGGCTTAAAGCAGAGCAAAAAGTCTGGATTTTCACTTTATATCATATTTTTTAGTCTACATTGGGACATTAGCACATATTTATAGCCAAGATGATAAAACGTTACTTCAATAAACGGACATAAAGATGCTGTGGCTCCCAAGGCGGAACGATTTTTGTTCTTCTTGACATTTGGGTTGCCGACCCCTGCCCTAGGCCTCTGCTATTCAGCTCAAGGGGATAACGTTATCATGATTTGCACTGTGGTACTTGTGCTTATTCGTGGCCTATTGATGAAACTAACACCTTAGAAAGAATTCCCACTACTACTGCCTCGCCTCAAAATCCTGACATTACAGATTTTGGTTTGATTTTTTTTACTGCCTATCAACTCACACCTCCGACATGCTCGCTTCAGTTAAGTTCCATCTACTGGCTTACATGCACACCACTTAGCAGTAGCTGCTTCATGGTATCGCTACTCTCTATTACTGATACTGTGTACAGTATGGTATCAGTATTGGTGCAACACTAGTATTACATAAAAGAAGCTTCAAAACACACACATAACTTGGTTCCATGTGCTTGTAGTGACGAGTATGTCTCACACACACACACACACACAC